AGGTTTTCAGGGAGCTGATTTGTGAAGTGTCACGCAGAAGGCTTTGGCTCCCTTTCCCCCCTTTCGTAGCTGTGCACAGGCGTGGAGGGCTTGCACTGTTGGTGATGTGATTTTTGCTTGAGTCCATGCGCAGTCGGTAGGACTGTTTAAATTCTTTCTGAACCATGTTAAGCTCCTTTCTAATTGCTGAGTCAGGGTTTGGACCTCAGCTCTGGCTGTATGCAGCTGGCCTTGTAAGGCCTTAGATCTGGTGTCTCTCTCATTTAGTTCCACATATGTTGTTTTAAGAGTGACTTTGTGTGAAACAGTTCTCTTTTCAAGTCCTGTGTGATGGCTTTTTCCAGCGGCGCTTGGTGTTGAGTAGCTGTTAGAGCCTCTGTGAAGACTGGTGATTTCTTTCTGTCGCACCATTCTGTGAGGTTCTTTGCATCCGTTCTGTGCTTTCTCTCGTTGAGCAGGTGTCAGTTCTCTGTAGAATTCTGTGACTTGCAGTTTCAGCTCATATACCTCCTGTCTGAGGCCCTTGAGGGTGTGGGCCGAGGAGAGGATGATGCTGGTCAGGTGTTCACTTATGTCGCAGTCTCGCTGTTCCTTTCTTTGCCATTGCAGGTAGTTGGCTGCTTGGAGCTGAAGGATGTCCATTACAGTGCTCTGCTAAGTGTCCAGGTAGTCCTGGTGAGCTGGCAGGGCTGGATATCTGTGGAGTGTCTGCGACATACTGGCACACTTGTGGGAACACCAGAGAGAGAAAGGGGCAAGATAAATGCAAGTACGTCCAGAGGTGTTAAACTATCTCTATGGGGAACGGCTGTGTAGGCCATGTAAGGTATGAATCGCTGGTGAGAGGCAGCTAGTGGGGTAGGGTGCTATGTTTTTGTGTTCGTGAACACAAAGGGAGAGTTTGAGTAACTTTGTTGAGGGGGCCGTAAGCAGGGGTCAGCTGATGGCCAGGCTATACATGTAGTCAAACTATAGCTTAAAACACTGATGGTTCACGGGTTTGGTCACTATGACGAA